CGAGTCTTACGCGAGTTTTGTTTTTTGACTAGTGAAGATGTAAATCCAAATTACCCTAAGGTGGTCAATAAAAAATCGAAACAAGTAATAAGAGCTAAGTTTTTTTTTCTCATTAAAGGAACTGTGTTTTGGCTGTTTCATTGATCTAAAACTGCCACTTTGAATGAAACTCACTCTCAAAACACACTGTGACAAATAAAATGATAGTACCTTGGTTAATATTGCCAAATGCTAGTCGTAAATTTTACGGCAGCCCCGGAAGTTAAAAGTTAATCGCAAGTAATTTGCATATCCTTTCAACGACGCTCAGCTGGAGACTGTTCATGCATTTAAAAGTTTTCTTTCAATTAGTACTAAGCTAGAGTGACTCTACAATAAACCAGTGCTACAACAGTAAAATAAATTGAAGACGGTCATTTCTGAATGAAGAAATTTCGCGAACGCCTCGCCAAAAGCGAGACGGTGTTTCCCAACTAGTACGATCCGAAAATACGCGAACTTGAGCACAGAACGCGGCGTGGCCCCAAAATGTCAATTAATTTGAAAAATTAGCAAAAAGTAACTTGCGACCAGGCCTTTTTTCTTTAAAAACTTATAGCTCTCTCTTTTTGTTCTGTTTAGAACCCCAAAATAGCGACAAACCAAATTCCGCGAAAGGCCCGGGACACGGGCGCGCTCTTTCGTCAACCTCGTCTCCATGCTACCTTCCATCCCATGAGGCCGAAAGTGACGTGTAGGTTTCGTCGTCCATGTTGAAAATCCATGTGTTTAGTTTTTGCGAAATAGCGAAGTTTTGAGGCTTTTAGACTATTATGGCAGCAGTTGATGGAGGTGGATTCAATTTGGAAGATGATATTGGTGCTAAAATAAGTGGATATCGTAAGGAATATGATAACGACCGCGATGGTAGAGACGAATACGGTAAGTGNTTTTTTTCTCATTAAAGGGACTGTGTTTTGGCTGTTTCATTGATTCAAAACTGCCACTTTGAATGAAACTCACTCTCAAAACATGCTGTGACAAACAAAGTGATAGTACCTTGGTTAATATTGCCAAATGCTGGTCGTAAATTTTACTTCAGCGCCGGAAGTTAAAAGTTAATCGCAAGTAATTTGCATATCCTTTCAACGACGCTCAGCTTGAGACTGTTTATTTAAAAGTTTTCTTTCAATTAGTACTAAGCTAGAGTGGCTCTACAATAAACCAATACTACAACAGTGAAATAAATTGAAGACGGTCATTTCTGAATGAAGAAATTTCACGAACGCCTCGCCAACAGCGAGACGGTCTTTCCCAGCTAGTACAATCCGAAAATGCGAGAACTTAACCACAGAACGCGGCGTGACCCCAAACTGTCTATTAATTTGAAAAATTAGCAAAAAGTAATTTGCGATCAGCCTTTTTTTCGTTAAAAACTCATAGCTCTTTATTTTTGCTCTGTTTAGAACCACAAAATAGCGACAAACGAAATCCCGCGAAAGGCCCGGGACACGGGCGCGCTCTTTCGTCAACCTCGTCTCCATGCTACCTTCCATCCCATGAGGCCGTACGTGCCGTGTAGGTTTCGTCGTCCATGTTGAAAATCCATGCGTTTAGTTTTTGCGAAATAGCGAAGTTTTGAGGCTTTTAGACTATTATGGCAGCGGTTGATGGAGGTGGA